GGGTGGGGGGAGGCCGATCCCCCCCCCCCCCCCCCCTCCGGGGTGGGGTGCATGGGGGGTCTCTGCCCCTGACCCCAGAGGGGAGGGAGGTTGCCCCCCGGGAGGGGCTCCATAGTGGGCTGTGGCCCTGCCCCACGAGGTAACAGTGGTATTGCTGGGTGGGGGGAGGCTGTGCCCCATCCCCAACTGTCCTGACAGCTTTTTGTTTTTCTCTGTGGCGTTTGCTGCGGTACAGGGTAGCAATGTGAACGACTAGGAGTAGTCGACTATCCGATAAGCAAATGCTTACTGTCAACACACTGGTCATCCTCCCGTCCCCCTTGCTGTCTCTATCAGAGAGAGGAAGCAAGTGGGGGAAGAAAGGGGGTGCTTCAAAGCGGCAGCGCTACATGGAGCGTGGGGCCAGACTCCACGCAGCTCTGCCGCTTTGAAACACGGTGTGCAGCCCAGGGCCAGCTGGGAGTCCCCAAGCTGCAAGTGCCGATTCAAAGCGGCAGCGCCATGTGGAGCCTCCCCTGCTAACCCCAGGCTCTGTGCAGCGCTGCCGCTTTGAAACGCCACGCAGAGCATGGCGCCAGTGCAGGACTGCCCCGCTGGCCCTGTGCTCTCCTCAGTGCTTTCGCCTTTCAGGTGCAGCAACAGTTCTGGGGCTGTTTCTATACTTCAAAGGCGGAGGCACACTTATTGACTAATTGAGTAGTTGATGCAATTTGCATCGACTTTGATTAGTCAGTGAATGGAAATTTAACATCCCTAGTACAGCCCTGTGTAGGGAGGACTTGGGACTGGTGCCTAATTGATAGTTAATTCTATAATTGCATTGTTACTCTGGCGTTCACAGGGAGTCTCCCTCTGCATGGGCTTCTCTAATTATTTTGTGGATCTGGTTTGGGGTCTGTATAAAATGAATTATTTTGCTTTTGTTTGCATTTTAAAACACTTGTAGATTTTGCTGAATACATATAACGTTAAATAATCTTATAATGAAAGGCTAAGGCTTGCTTTGAGGGTTGCGTGCATGCTTTGGCTGACAGCACAAGATCACGTGGGGAAAACAAAGCTTAGATATTGTGGCTGTCATCTTTCATACCTTACAATATACAACTCTAACTTCTGCCATAAGACAAAGCAGCCTGAAGAAATTTTACAGTTGTTTTTGAGGAATAATTTGATATTAAAATAATTAATTTAATTTTTTTAAATGAATATAAGCAATTTCTTCAGTTTTGTGATCTAACCTTATATAATGCTGATTATTTAATCTGCTGAGCAGATTAACAACATAACAATACTGGCATGTTTTGCCATTTTGTTTATGGCTTAAGTAAAAAGATGGAAATTACATTTTTCCTTTGTGTCCTATTTTGAGATACTGTGCTTTGTGAAAGAGAACAGCACTTTTTGCTTCCCACTAAGGGCACATAGGGTGTGTCTAGACTACAGAGTTTTGTCGACAAAACTATACCTGCGTCTACACTACCGCTGAGTTCTGTCGACATAACGTCGACAGAACTCAGCAGTTTTGTCGACACTGGTAAACCTCATTTTACGAGGCATAACACCTTTTGTCGACAGAGTTCTGTCGACAGAAGGTGTTATTGCATCTAGGGTTGTGTCTAGACTACAGGGTTTTGTCGACAAAGCAGCTTGCTTTGTCAACAGAACTGGCTGTAGTCTAGACGCTCTTTGTCGACAGTATCTGTCAACAAAACTTCTGTCGACAAAAGCCTAGACGTACCCATAGATAGTACAAAAGAAGTTTCAGCAAAACCCCAGTAGTAAAGCCTGCAGGCAGAGGTTGCTTAAAACTGATTCTCTGTTGCAAACCCTCCACTTGCAGTTATTTGCTTTGTTTTGCAATTGCAAGGGTGTGCAGTAATAAAAATGAAATAGCAATTCAAGAGATACTGCAGGTCAACATTGTGATGCTTTGGAAGCACAGTGTATGTTGTAATTCCAGGTATTACTAGCATGGGTTTCTGCCCAGTCAGTCTTGACATGAACTGGTAGAGTTGTGTATGAAACAATTGGAATAACAAGAAAGGCTACAAATTGCTTTGGGTTGAGGTGTATTGGCAAAACTCTGTGTGGGTCAGGATTTGGAATAATATCAAGTACTGCAGATTAGGATTGAGATGCATGACTGGGGATTCAGGATTGGAATATTTGAGGATGATACAGGTCATGATGGAGGTGCATGGGTGGACTGTGATCAGCAAGACTGGGATAGCAAAGAATGTTGCTAGTCAGAACGATAAATCTTTGTTTTAGTGCGGTATTTGTGAAATTCAAAACTGCAAGATGGCCCTGCGCCTTTGTAAGAGTGACATTAATTATGAGGATTTTCTTTAAGTGTTGTGTATGTTTGAATTTAGTGGTCATGCCAGTGAGGAAGCGGATCATGCTGACTGGAGGCAGTCATAGTGATGAAATATATTAATGTCACTTTCTATTTGCTAAGATCCCAAAGTACATGAATAATTTAAAGTGATTGTTTACAGTATGGATGTGAAAGATTAATTGGTTAACTGGTAAGCATCACTCTTAATGGGTGATGCTTACCGGTTCTGGTTAACTGGTAACTGGTGGGGGCTTCACAAGTCCCACTGGGGCCTGTTGCAGATAAGGGCTGCTCCAAAGTTGATGCAATGCTTAATGGTTAACCTGTTAACCTTTCACATCCTTGGTCATGATCCCATAATTGAAAAAAAGTGGAAAAGGTATTCAGCATTTGGATTGAAGACATGGCACCGAAACGAGCACTGTGAATGGGGCTGTAATTGGAGAAAACGCTTTGAGCTTCTGGAAGGATTTTGCGCAAGCATCAGATGGTGAGGGAGGAAGTCATGACAGTTCATGTCATTCACCGCGAGCAAGGGGTGGTTTGACAAATTTAACAAGAGGCAGTTTACATAATGTGAAGTTAATAGGGGAATCCGAGTCAACAGACCATAAAGCAGCACAGGATTGTCCCTCACAGCTTCCCATCCAATGTTCCTTTCTGAACCCGCCCCTGGTAACCCTCCCTGCCTCATCCTGGAGGAACAGTAAGCTTTGTAGGGAGTGAATTCAAAGAACTGTTTTGGTGATTAGTTTTGAAGTTGAAGTTGTTTGTTGACTATACTGTATTAGCTTTGAGTTTGGTTGGAAATCTACTGCTTTGAAGTTAAAGTTGTTTGTTGAATGTGAAACAGCAGGCAATAAAACGCTCATTTTGAACAAAGTGTTGTTTTTCATAGAATCATATAATACTAGGACTGGAAGGGAGGTCTTCGAGTCCAGTCCTCTGCCCTCATGGCAGGCCAAATACTGTCTAGACCATCCCTGATAGACATTAATCTAACCTACTCTTAAATATCCCCAGTGATGGAGATTCCACAACCTCCCTGGGCAATTTATTCCAGTGTTTGACTACCCTGACAGTTAGGAAATTTTTCCTAATGTCCAACCTAAACCTCCCTTGTTGCAGTTTAAGCCCATTGCTTCCTGTTCTATCCTCAGAGGCCAAGATGAACAAGTTTTCTCCCTCCTCCTTATGACACCCTTTTAGATACCTGAAAACTGCTGTTGTATCCCCCCCTCAATCTTCTCTTTTCTAAACTAAACAAACCCAATTCTTTCAGCCTTCCTTCATAGGTCATGTTCTCTAGACCTTTAATAATTCTTGTTGCTCTTCTCTGGACCTTCTCCAGTTTCTCCACATCCTTGAAATGCGGTGCCCAGAATTGGACACAATACTCCAACTGAGGCCTGACTAGTGCAGAGTAGAGCGGAAGAATGACTTCTTGTGTCTTGCTCACAACACACCTGTTAATAAATCCCAGAATCATGTTTGCTTTTTCTGCAACAGCATGGCACTGCTTACTCATATTCAGATTGTAGTCCACTATAACCCCTAGATCCCTTTCTGCCATACTCCTTCCTAGACAGTCGCTTCCCAGTCTATGCTATAAAATGACACTGTACAATTTACAAATGATTCAGTGTCTCATAACTTGTAAAATGCAGTGTCTAGTTAAACCCCCCAGCCTAGAGATGTAATAGTGTAGTTGATTAATGCTATAGACTACACGCATTCCCTCCCTCCCCCCCCCCCAAGCCTCC